AAGAAAACGGCCCGGCCGATCTCTACCAAAAACTAATCAGCACAATTCCCAACCAATATCTTTCGAACGGTTTTTGAATTTTCAAAATCGATTCAGAATTGCGGGCTAAAACGTAGACGAACAATTTTTCACTTTTCTGCGATTTATAAAGAAACGGCTTGGCCGATCGTCGCACAAAACTGACAAACAATAGTTCTCGTCAAGATACATCGAATGGCTTTTAAATTTTTGAAATCGGCCCAGCCGTTTTCGAGAAAACGTCGATTTACGGCAAAAAATCTGTTCACATACACACACACACACACATACTTTTTCCAAATTTGGTCTCATTCGATTCAGAATGGCTTGAAACGTCGAGAAAACATAAAATTAGAGAATCGGATTTTTTGATGACAACAAACTTCTCCTCGGGAAGTTAAAAAATCGTATATCCTTAGCTAAAGCCACAATGTCGTTTTACTAAATCTATTTTTATTATTCTTATCTCAAGTAATCTTATACCTTGTTGATATTCACTTCGTTTTGTGATTAATAAAATAAAAAAGTTTCAATACAATTTTTCATTCTTCAAACTTTGCTCCTAGCTATGCTTCTAGTTTTGCGTAGAAAATTGAAATATGATACATCAAGGTGCGAAAAAATAAGAAAATGCGCTTTTAATTAAATCTATGTAGTTTATAAAACGAAAATAAACGACATTCTGAACAACAATTGTTAAAAGTTTTAAAAAATCTAAAGTTTTGCGTTTGATTTATAAAAATAATAGTGGATCATTTACTATCGACTTATAAAGTTCGCTAAAGAGAAATTTACTATTATTTCCACAAAAAATCAAATTTGCCAGTTTTGTGTTTTTTTGACGTTTCAAGTCATTCTGAATCGTTTGAGACCAAAATTGTTAAGGAAGAGAAAATTTCCAAGAGCAAAAATTTAAAAGTGAGTTGAGCCTTTCGCCTTTCGCTTTAATAAATTAGAACTTCCATTTTCAAATTTACTAAAATTAACAAAAAAATTCCGAGAACGCTTTATCTGACTGCCTGAAACAGGTGAGATTTTTCCTAAAGTTAATTATGAAAAAAATTGTACGAAATTGCATAAAATGTGAGAGAAAATCTAAGTGAAATCTAAAAATTTTGGTACTGCAATTTTGATTAAAATGCAATTTAAATTTGAAAAAAATAAAACGTTTTTATTACTAATTATTATTTTGAATCATATTTTGGTCATTTACCATAAATAAACCCACTTGTCCAATTAATTTAACTACAAGTTACCGACCCGGATTTTAACTAGAAAGCCACCGCAATTTGCTAATTTAATGTTTCAAGTCATTCTGAATCGTTTGAAACCAAAATGTTACAGAAGAGAAAATTTTCGAGAGCAAAAATTTAAAAGTGAGTTGTGCCTCTCACTAGGGGGACATCTATTAATCACGTGATCGATTTTTTTTAGGACTTTTGGACGCCCCATCCCCCCTTAAAATTACCCCCCCCCCTCTTTTCCATCAAATTTCACGTGTATTTTTAGTTACAAGAAAAAATGGTACGATTTTTTAATTTTTTTGAAAATGAAAATATACACGCGATACTCAAATTTACCCCCCCCCTTCCCCGCTAAAAATCTCGTGTATATTTAGTTACGAGAAAAAAAATGGTACAATTTTTGATTTACTTTGAAAATGTTTGGATTTTTTTAAAAAAATCAGGTAAAAAATAAATACACGTGATATATTACTATACCCCCCCTCCCCCACGTGATATCTTGTGATTTTTTATCAAAATCCCCCTTCCCCTAAAAACCAAGCATGATTATTGGACGCCCCCTAATTTTGAACATTAATTTTAAAATCCATAAAAATTGGGGAAAAAATACGAAAACAAATTGTCTGACTACCAGATACAAGTTATATTTTTCTTATTATTTCTAATATTGTTATTTTGCTATATTTATTATTATCTGCCACTTATTGTTTTATTCCACTTTATTGTTTTTCAAGTATTATTTATTCAGGAATTTTATTATATTTATTAATATTATTATTTGCTTTTATTTTATATTAAATCATCATACTACGGATATCATTTTAATGTAAATACTATCCTTTGTACTCTTTTTTTTATTTAAATTTAGGTTATTGTTTATTTGTATTGCTAGATGTTAAATTATTTAACAGTTGTAATAAATAAATATTGTAATTAAAAAAAATATAAATATATATTTTTAGAATAAATTATGAAGGATCAAAAGTGAAAAAAAATCGGTAGACATCTAGAAAATACATAAACTTTTGTACGGTTGTTCGTAATTCTGATTAAAAAATAATAGATTCATTTGATTTTTTTTATTATCATATTACGTACTAATTTGTATTTTAAATCACATTTTGGTCATTTACCATAAATAAACTCACCCGCCCGAATTAATTTAACTACAAGTTACCGACCCTAATTTCAACTAAAAAAGTATGGTAACCCCAATACAATGTATAAAACTATATAGTTTTGTTTTCCCAAGACTTTTCACTAAAATATTTTTACTATACAAGTTCCAGGAATATCTAAAGATCACATGTCACAAAATTAGCAAAGTTATTTTACTGCCAAATCATTTTTATCTGATTACTCCGTAATCGAATTCGCCATTCGTATGAGAGTTATATATATATATAGAGAAGGAATAAAACATAAAATTGGGACGAGCCAATAAAATATATATTCGAAAATTATTGTACATTAGATTAATTGAATCATTTCGAGATATCCTATAAACACAAATATAATATATTGGAAATGAAAAGTAAAATTGAAGGTGTAGGATGTAAATTAGATAAAACATACATTGATTAAATATAAGATGCAAAAGGAATTTGGAAATATATTTAATGCCTTTATTTTTAGTTATTTTGAAAGATTTTTAATGCCTTCATTTTTAATTCTTTAATTTATCTTAGAGTAAGACAAAAGATGCAAAAGTAATTTTGAAATATTTTTATTGCCTTCATTTTTCATTTCCTAATTTATCTTAGATTAAGACAAGATGCAAAAGGAATTTTGAAATATTTTTAATGCATTTATTTTTTACTTTTTAATTTATCTTAGAGTAAGACAAAATGCAAAAGTAATTATGAAATATTTTTATTGCCTTCATTTTTCATTTCTTAATTTATCTTAGAGTAAGCCAAAGATGCAAAAGTAATTTTGGAATATTTTTAAAGCCTTTATTTTTCATTTCTTAATTTATCTTAGAGCAAGACAATATGCAAAAGTAATTTTGAAATATTTTTAAAATCTTCATTTTCATTTCTTAATTTATCTTAGAGCAAGACAATATGCAAAAGGAATTTTGAAAAATTTTTAATGCATTTATTTTTTACTTTTTAATTTATCTTAGAGTAAGACAAGATGCAAAAGTAACTTATTGAAATATTTTTAAAGCCTTAATTTTTATTTCTTAATTTATCTTAGATTAAGACAAGATGCAAAAGTAATTTAGAAATATTTTTAAAGCCGAAAGTAATTTTGAAATATTTTTAATGCCTTCATTTTTCATTTTTTTAACTTATCTTAGATTAAGACAAGATGCAAAAGTATTTTTGAAATATTTTTACTGCCTTAATTTTTCATTCCTTAATTTTTAGAGTAAGATAAGATGCAAAAGTAATTTTGAAATATTTTTAAAGTCTAAATAAATTTTGAAATATTTTTAATGCCTTCATTTTTCATTTTTTTAATTTATCTCAGATTAAGATAAGATGCGAAAGTAATTTTCAAATATTTTTAATGCCTTCATGATAATAAAAAAAATCTAAAAATCCTCCTAAACATTTTGGCATACCTTACAAAAAATAGATGTAAGTATGTATGTGCGGATACAATTTTCCGTCGACGATTTCGGGAGCACGGATCAACCGATTTGAATGATTCAAAACACATCCGATTCCTATTGATATCAAAAATATTTTTGGAGATACAGAGCAAAAAAAGGGCGATTCAGCAAGAATGTTTCAAAAAACTTTACTTGTATTGGAAAAATGAATAATGGTAATTATTATTATTATTTTTAGGAAAATGATGGCTACACACACTGGACCATCTCGGATAATAATATTCACAATAATCTACTTCTGTCTTTTATCTTATACTTTGTCCTGGCCTGAGAATAAACGCGTTAATTGCAGGTACAACTAGTATATATATATATATATATATATATATATATACATATATATTTATTTCTCAAATGTAAAAATGTTTATAACATACTAAAATATTATTTCAGAAAATATGTTTATGCTCCCGTTTGCAGAGGTTCTGTAAAGCGTAACAATTTTCCAGTTCCAACAAATATGAATAGGTAAATATTAAAAAAAGCAATTTTTAAATTTTTAAATAAATACCCAACCTAATTTCCTAAATAATATACATCTCTTTCTCATTTTTTCCTTTAGGGTGATGCCTGAAGTTTTCAGTTTGCCGAAAATACACTTATTCGAACAAAATTCTTATGGGATCCCTTCACAAAATCAAGAAACCATCAAACAAAAGGTGATTATAAACCTACAGCAACCTTATATATCGATAAATTATTATCAATTATTTTTTTTTTTAGGATGATGCTTTGATCCGTGCCATATTTCAACAAATACTACAAAGACGACATCGCACACAAGAATATGGTCTTGAATCATTTGAAGAAAATTGAACAAACAATTGTGAATTATTTTTCTATTATTAGTTTTAGTTTCTTATACAAATATATAAGTATGTGACTCATATATTTATAATTGTATTATTTAAAGTATAGTCTAACAAATTGTATATTTCAAACTGTAGTTGTACTACAACTAAAATAAATATACTTGGAGATTACTAATATATTATTAATAAACGAAAATAAAATATTTATTTGAGAAAATATACTTTAATTTATTATTGAGTACGATATGCATTGAAATATTTACTTATCTTAATAATAGAATTATTAATATATTGTAAATATGTTCAGCTTTTGACTTCTTCGTTAAGCCTTTTAAACAAATATCTCGCTACAGCCAGCATTTCACTTATACAATTATCAACTTCCAACTTCTTTTGTAGCATATGAAAATATTCTAGCTTAGGCTGCATTTCTAATACTGAAATTTATGAAACATCTGAATATTCTACTCATTCTTAAATAGATGTAATTAACTTACATTTATGAGTTTCATTATTCTCATTATACTCGCAAAGGACATAGTACTTGTCTGAAGAAGTTTCATTGTTGAAAGAGAATGTATATTTAATCTAAAATAGGGATAAAAGTAGTTAATTAACATATTTGTAACGTAACATATGCTACATTATTGAAAATTGATGCTAGTTTACAGGTTAGGAATAAAATATAATACCTGATATATATTGTTCGATTCCAATATTATTTTCAACTCCAGCCCATTATATTCTTTATAGTAATCCAGCTCACTTTTAATGTCTTTCATAAACCATTCATAGTGCTCTTGGATTTTTTTTTTTGCTATAATAATAAAATTACATCAAGTACATTACTTAACTTATTTACACAAAAAAGTGAAAATTACCATTGATGCAATTATCCTGTTTTTCTTTTGCTTGTTTTACAATATTTGCAGCCTCGGCATTCTCTTTTTCAGCTATAGCCATTTTCTTTGAAAGAAAATCGTGTTTATTTAATTCTGTAGCATAGTTCGACATACACTCTTCATGTTTATTACGTAGATTTTTTAATTCAGTCTTCAATTCTGCAAATTTACACATGTCTTGGTCGAGATCATCTCGGAGGTTTTGTATTAAGCTTTGAGCAATTGGAAATCTATCCATATTGAGTAATAATTTAATAACAACTAATTTTTAGACAAGTGTTTTAAAATCAAAGCATATCTGACATTTTGAAGTAGTAATAGTATTGCCAACGTTGACAATAGTGATTGACAGACTCAAAAGTTTTGCAGTGTTGGGCAATACCATTTTTGACAGTTTATGGCCATTCCTTAAAAACAGAAAAATTTGTCCATTTTGTATTCCGCCTATATAAAATAATAACCACAGCTAATATACGCTATTAATTTAATGATTACTAAGTATTAAAAAGTTTATTGAACTTCATTAACCATTATACTGCACAATATTGATTTTTCATAAGCTCTTAACATTCGGAAACAATGTAAGACGCAAACTTGTTTTTCACGAATAATTTGTGTAATATTAATATAATTAATATATTGTGTGTTATATGTAATCCTTTATCTTATTCAGGAATTCTTCTAAAAACGATTCGTCAAACAGTGACTCAAGTGATGAAGATTATTGCCCAGAAACTGTTAAAGAAGAATTATCGGAAGAATCATCCGATGACGCTTGCGAGGATGATTCAGGAGACGAGCAAAAAGGACAAAAACGAAGTAAAAAGTGTAAAACAAAATACACAAAACGTAGAAAAACCGAAGAATCACCAGAAGCTAAAAATGTAGACAAAAGTGTAACTGAAACAGGTTTAAACGAAGAAGACAAGAAAAAGAAAGCAGACTCCTTGTGGGCAGATTTTTTGAGTGGAACCGGAACAAAATTAAAGCCTAAAAGTGACTCCAATGGCAGTTTGAAACAGGAGAATAAAGTTCCAAATAAAGTGGAAAAACCAAAACCTGCAAAAGAAGTTGTAACAGTCAAACAGATCTTTGATTTTGCTGGCGAAAAGGTAAATAATAATAGGTTGTCAAATATCTCCCTTCCGCCTTTTTGTATCATAAACCAAGAGCAAAAAAGCGGAAGGGAGATATTTGACAACCTAATACTTCACTCTTTAAAATTTATTTTTGTCTGTTCAGGTTGAAGTAACCAAAGAAGTCCCAGCAGATTCAGTGGAAGCCCGTCTCGCCGGCACAAATGACTCAACGACAAAAGAAACACCTGACAAAAAGCCTGCGGCCAAACCTGCACCTAAAAAAAGCGGTATGCAATCTATTTTAAGTCAAATAAATAAAAAAATAAAATCAGCACCCTGGAGAAGTCAAAACTAGATTGGGATGGTTTTAAGAAAAAGCAAGGGATTGAGGAAGAAATACAGAATCACAACAAAGGCAAAAATGGGTCAGTAATATAATTAATTAATAAATGCATCAACAATTGCATTAAATTATTTTTACCTTTGCAGGTATTTGGAAAGACAAGACTTTTTGCAGCGTGCAGACTTACGACAGTTTGAAATAGAAAAGGAAATGAGAACTACAAGACGAAGTAACAGATAAATATCATGTATGAAATGTACTGAAAATATTGATGTAAACAATAAATATGAATAACAAACAAAAATTAAATTTAATAATAATTTAATTCAATATATACACAATTTAATATAAAAAAAAGTCTTATGCTATATACATTCATAATTACAATGCTGTCGTTTTTTCAGTCAGCAGGCAAACCAAATTTTTAACAGACAATTCAACAGGTAATTTGTTTCCCCCGGGGAAGGGAAGGACTTGCACATTGGCATACTTCTTCTTCATAATTCTTCTTTCTTCTTATCTTGCCCTCGGTAGTCTTCATTGCCTTCCATTCATTCAAATTTATTGTACAATCTCATAATTTATTATATAAGTTATTCTAAAACCTAATCCATTACGAATGTCCATTTATGATTACCCGAATCAATTTAACATGACAACAGAATTGTTTGAAGAAGGTTTGCATCAAAAGACACATGCACATCGTTTTCATAAGAAGGAATTAGAGAAAACAATGTGCATAAAGATTTTGCGGCCAAATTAATGAAATTTTGAGCAATCTATTGAATATTGGAGATTGCAGCCATACTATTCTTACAGTCGATTAAAGTTTTCGAGACATCACTAAAGATTACACCGAGGGGTGTCACAAATTCCAAGCATTCGTCGTCGTTTTCGAACGCCAATTCGCATGTCAGGAATGCCACGGGAATATTTTGACGGTAGCTAAATTAAAAATGACATATTAATAAAGAATCAATATTAGTTTATAAGAATTAATATATAAATATTAATTGGAGACTACCTGGAAAAAATGGCTATTAGTTTAATTTAGAAGCAACTTAAATATTTCTTACTGTGAAATTAAATGTTATCTTGCCAAATAAAAAAGAATATTATTCTAAAATGACTTGTTTACCAAAGTCTGCATAATTTTATGTAAAAAAATATTTGTAGCCTTTAAGTGTCAGAAATTTCCAGCAGATATTTAAATAGTTTAAATATTTGTATAACAAAGCTTGCATTATTTCTTTACTCTTTTTGAAATGAACGAGGTAATTATTTAATTTAAGCAGTTTTTTTTTTTTAGTTTATTTTAACTATTACAAAAGACTAATAAATAAAAACTTTGTATATATTATTTATCAAATGTCTGCATAACTTTTGTGTTAATGATAAATCATTTTTGTATCAAGAAATTTCCAGAAGCTTGAATTATTTCTTTACTCTTTTTGAAATGAACGAGGTAATTATTTAATTTAAGCAGTTTTTTTTTTAGTTTAGTTTAAGTATTACAAAAGACTAATAAATAAAAATTTGTATGTCTTATTTATCAAATGTCTGCATAACTTTTGTGTTAATATGATAAATCATTTTTGTGAAATAATCTTTGTTTTAAGTAAAATAAGAAATTTGCAGCAGACAGCAGTTATTTAAAATACTTCAAATACTTGTATCACAGAACTTGAATTATTTCTTTACTATTTTTAAATAAATGAGGTAATTAATTAATTTGACCAGTGAAATTAAATGTTATCTTGCAAAAGAAAGAGCTATTATTCTAAAAGACTAATAAATGTTCTTTACTATTAAAATTAAAAATTTCTTTACTATTTTTAAATAAATGAGGTAATTAATTAATTTGACCAGTGAAATTAAATGTTATCTTGCAAAAGAAAGAGCTATTATTCTAAAAGACTAATAAATGTAAATTTTGTTTCCTAAAAAAACTTTTAAAATAAATTTTGTATGACTTTATCAATTTTGTGATAAATGGTTTTATCCTCTAAGTAAAATTGTTATTTGAATATTATTAAATTTGTGATATGTACTCCTCCTGCAGGGCTGAAAAGCAATTCTACATAAACAAATAACAATAAATATTCAATGATCAGCATCTAAGAAAGACTTGTGCAATGTATACATACGATTTTATAATTTTCTTCAATGCTAGAGTTCGTTCTCTGACCACAAACCAATCTATAAGGTAACCTGACATGGCAGGAGAATTTTGATACAATTTAAAGAAACGATGATAATTGCCTTCAGACCAAGCAGAATGCAGTAGCAGTGCATGGCTAATGCATTCATCTAACTTGTCTTCGGGCGACAATGCATTTAAAAGGGTTGTTAAATCTGAAAAATAAAATATTTATGTTAGAACTTGATATGATGTGATAATAAATGCATGTATGTGTTTGTATTTACCTAATGTACTGTTTGTAAATATGTAGTACAATATCCTGTATCCAGTAAACTCAAGCCTATTACTCTTCCCATTCGTATCCGCTATAACCTTATCCCCTAATTCATTATACAACATTTTCAATTGCGTCTGGCATTGATTGAATTCTTCTCTATCCCCCTTCTCCATAGCTATCCTAGCATGAATTTCATAAACGTGAACTGTGAACGAATCCCTAATAACTTGCACAGTTAAATCTTGTCTAATAGATTTAAGCTGGTCGCAAGCATAATGATAGTCCTTTTTCTCATTCCACTTGTCTTTGACATTTTGCAAAGAAGTCCTTAATACTTCAACAGGCCTTACTTCACAAGCTTCCGGGGCTTTAGTCAAACGCAAGAAAGACTTTTCAATATCCCTACATGTACCGGTTATATGGAAATCAGAGAAATCTATGCCGTCTACATCAGTTTGGGAATAAATTGGTGACGCTTTACGCCAATTGCTGTTGATGTTGCCAGCAGTGGAAGACGCTACGACTGGAACTTGTTTCTTGACATCACTAAACCTTGCTGCCCTCTGCTGCAACCGCTCATCATTGCCTTCAACCTGAAAATTAAAAAAAATATTAGATATAACCTTGCTACCAAAGATAAACTTTCATTCCTAATAGAAGTAAAACTTACCTCACCACCAACAATGCCAAATTCAGAATAGAAATGCGATTTCTTATTTTGCTGTTTCTGCTGTTTCTTATTTTGCTTCTGTCGAGGTGATTTTCCTTTCTGAGGCGACCCTGCCAATGATAATCTCTCCATAATCTTACCTTTATTCTTATTTCGTACCAATGGTTTATAGTTTTCGTCACTACTGGAATGGGAATCACTGAAACCAAACAAAGACTTATAAAAAAGTTCTATTTCAGTCTCCTCAATATAAAAATTTATTATTACCTTATTCTAGATTTTCTTGGACTGCGACTTCTGCTATGGCGTGATTTCCTCCTGCTCCTCTTGCCATTTGTGGAAGAATCTGAACTAGACCTGGACCTAGATCTGGAAGAGCTTCTTGATTTTAGAGAGTTTCTTGCGCCTAATCTTGCCCCTAAGGCTTGTGATATTCCTTTTTTATTTTGTGGTGTCACCGGTGCTTTTACTGGGCTACAGGCATTGGTATTCTGAAATTGTGACAATTGACCTGGAACAACCTTAACCACTAAATTATTTCGTTCACTATAGACACTGGGTATAGGTTCTTCGTCCCAATTCTTAATCCAGATTTCCCCTTTGTTCATAGCAGACGATATGCGACCTTTCAAGCATATCTCTATTTGATCTCGATCTAAAGCTGTTTTACATTTGGCATAACACCTCAGAACATATTTGTTCAAACTCTCTGGCCAATCGGAATTTGTGGCTGAAACTTGTTTTGGATTTTTTGGAATAGAATTTTCAGGCAAGGTTGGTGGAGCAGGTTTAGGGGGAGTAGCAGGAAGCGGTGGAGGTGGTTTTGTAACATCAGTAGGAGGTAGAGGAGGCAATGGAGGTGCTTCAGTCGTCGCAGGAGGGGGACCAGGTGGCATTGGAGGATCAACTGTAATGTTAGGTGAATTTGTCTGAGCAAAACCGAAACCGCGTTTATTATTATTTATGTTGAACCGTATTGGACCGAATTGACTCGGAGATTGTTTGGACAATTGAGGTGAAGTTGAATTAAAGAATGCAGGTCGTTGCAACAAATTTCCAACAGAATTGTTAAGCGGAGGCGGAGGCCCCGGCGGTAACGGTGGAAGTTCTTCCGACTTTTTATCATTCTCTTTAACAACATTATTACTGAATCCAGGAGGAGCGTTATTTGTGGCCGGGGTACTAGAAGTTGCCTGATTTTGCATTTGATTGAAATAGGCATAATAGTGATAGCTTGGATGTGTATACCCCGCATGGTACGGGTACATGAAATTATTCGTGGGATACATCCACATATGAGGCATTGTTGTAATATTGGGTCCTGGTGGATTCGGTAACAGTGCAGGTGATTGACCTGATTGCTGAGCTGCCACTGTGCTAGTATTTTGAGCACTCATTTTTTACAAATTTCAATTATTACTTATATAATTACCTGAAATTTATCAATTAACCGAAGACTGGTCGATTAAATGCTTTCAAACTTTTACTTAAAATCACTTTACACAAAATGGCTGACACTATCGTCTTTTGTTTCAGTCTACATAGAATTTGTTTCAAACGATCACAAATATTTTAGTGGTATAAAAATATATTGTAAAAATTATACTTAGAATACTTTTGATATATTATAACAAAATTTTAACATAATTACTTAAATTCACTTTAAATAAACATATAAGAACATGGTATGAGGTCATTACTCATCGCCATTATTACAAAACTAACTTCAACTTCATACTTTCTACAAAACCAACTGTCAAGAGCAAAATACTAATCCTACAAGCGGAAAATCGATTGATTTTTAAATCACTTATTTTGCATTTAATTAAATGCTAATGATAATTTATAAATTAATAAACATATGTTCATATAAAATATAATATTATATAATTTTAATCGTCGCAGGTGCGGCTTCTAGCATTAGTCCAAACTAATATGGTGGTCATCAATATTACAATTTTGTGGTATCTATGGAAGGCCAAACGTCAAATCAAATATGTCAATTTGACAGTTCAGTGACAATTTCCTTCTAAAATGAAATAAATCGTTTAATATTTAAATATTGTTTCAAATTATGCTGCCGAGAAAATATTAGATGAATATATTATTTATAAATTTATCATGTATTTTGGACATTATAAATTATTACAAATATTTTTATTCACCCTTTAAAAACACCCTTAGAAATTATTGTTAACAGTGTTTTTGTGACTCCAAAATTCAAAAATATATAATTTGGGATTTTTTTTATACCAATAAATTAAATTCAAGACTTATATCTACAAATGCAAGTTTATTACCATTTATTAATTTTTTTACCCCCTGTAAATCTTCCTAATATTTTTTAAATCCCACATATAGTTTTGCCTAATAAATTATTCAACTTTCACAACCCAATCTTGACGAATTTGTGCTGAAACTGATACAACGTTTTTGATGATGTGGATATATTATAACCCGTATTCATTTCGCAATTCATCAGTACCTACTTCTAGTAAAACATGACGCGAAATTTATTAAAATTTATACCTCTGAATAATTGGCTTCGTGGCTATTCTAAACCAAAGGCTATTTCTGATTTCATAGCTGGTGTAACTGTTGGTTTAACAGTTCTTCCTCAGAGTTTGGCTTACGCGACTTTAGCTGGGCTGGAACCACAGGTAATAATATAATAAATGTATATTTGTAAATTAACCTAAATTAAACCATTGATTATTCAAAATAACAGTAAAAAAACTAGTCTTTATTGAACAATATATAATTTATTAATATTTTTATGTGTGATATGTAATATCAAAGTACAATAGAGTGCTTGAACTATCTGATAAAAATTTGTAATCGTATCCTAACATGAATGAATCCTTGATATGAAAATATTGGTATAGCTTATTAACATAACAAAGAAATTAATTGATAATACTTAGAATAATATATATGTTATAAATATAAATCAATAAAAACAACTGAACAATTAGATTCTTATGCTAAACATTGCATGTTATGATACTCTAAAAACAATCTTTATTACAATTAATTTATTTTTTATAACTTTTATTATATTACAATTATATGTATTTTCTAAACATAATTTGTACCAGATTCATTTCATTTAATTTCAATTAATTCTCATTTAGTTTTTTTAACCATTTTTCAAGGTTTATACAACTGATTTTATTATTTATTACAAGTACACGACACGAGATCAAATTTCATTTATATTAATTTAGCCAATAATACACAAATCAGTAGAATTGGATCGATAGTAAATAAATATTACTTTGATATGATTTGATATATAATACATAAAGATTTTCATATTGCAAAGGATTCAAAAGTTACAAAATTCTAAATCTATTTTTTTTCTGAGCTAACTTATTTTGGAATTAATTATTGGTTACTGAAATATTACTCCAAGTCTTCGAATAGTTTTACATTTATTTCCAATGAAATAAAAAATAATTTATTATCGATATAATTTTACAAAATTAATTGATATTTATTTAATTAAAAACCGCAATATCCATAAAATTAAAAATTCATTTATTTTTTATTCAACTCTACTGAATTTTGTAGATACTTCTTGTACAATAAATAAAATGCTGTAAAGCTATATTTAATTTAATTGTAAAAAACTGTTTATAGTAAATGATTTAATAGTTTTTATTTTGATAATATAATTTCTAACAATGACCACATTTTATATTTAGAAAGAATGTTCTATCAAGAATTCTATTTGCATGCAAGGACGATAAAAAAAAACAATTCGTTACAATAAATAAAAATAATTTATATTAGATTAAAATGAAAATATCCGTAAATTTAGCATTGGTATTGATAACGATATGAATTTTTGCAATGTTTTGTTTTCGAAATCAAATAAATTTGATTTAAAATTTGAAGTTGGAATTGACCTGATTTAAATAAACGATTTTTTAGAAATAATTTTGCCGGGCCAGCTAGTATATATAATTATTTATGTATTATAATTTTTTTAAAATTGATTAATTTACAAGTATCGGGAAGTTAAAGCAAGTTTCATCTAGTTTAAAAAACTTATATTACATAAACAATTATAAATAATTATATATATACTAGCTGGCCCGGCAAAAATATTTCTAAGAAAATCTCTTTCATTTCTAAAAAAAATCGTCCGCGTTTGAGTCAAGAATCCTGAACCGATTTTAGAAATTCTAAAACTGGTCGAAAAATACCATATACATTTTGTTTAATCAATAAACATTAATTTTTACGACAAATCATTTTTTTAAACTAAATTTACGAAGAAACTTTTTCCGTTGACTTTTAATAAAAAATCTGTAGCACAATTTCCAAATAATATCTTTCAATCATACTGAAATTTTAAAAATCGGTTCAGAATTTTTAACTAAAACGCGAACGAGTATTGTTGCAATTTTTTGCTAGTAAAAAAGAAACGGCTTGACCGATTATCGCACAAAAATAATCATCTTGAGTCCTTATCGAGTTACATCGAATGGCTTTTAAATTTTTGAATACGGTTTAGCCGTTTTTGAGAAAACGTCGAGAAAATGTCAAATTTTAGCTTACATACACTCAATCATACGGACATTTTTGATCATTCTAAAGAAACGACTTGACAGATCGTCGCACAAAAATAATCACCTTGAGTTCTTATCGAGTTACATAATATTGAATTATTTTTAAATTTTTCATTTCTAATAATATAAGTCGAATTATTTCAATAAAATTATTTATGATATATTTATTACTCTGAATTATTTGAATTGATCCATTTATAGAACAATTATTATTACCAGTATGGCTCATACATATAAAAAAATTAAATTTTTGTGAATTTTTTAGACTTAAATGGAATGCAATTATTCAAATTATATTATTTTTTAATTATTCACTACTAATATTATAAATCGAATCATTTAAATGAAATTATTTATCATTAGATTACTCTGAACTATTTAAATTGATCTATTTATAAATCATTTATTATTAACAGTATGGTTTATTCTCTGCATATATATAAAAATTAAATTTTGGTGAATTTTTCAGTACTAAAGTTGATGGAATTATTCAAATTGAATTATTTTTTAATAATTCATTATTAATAGTATAAATCGAACTGTTTAAATTAAATTATTTATGATTATATTACATTGAATTATTTAAATTGATCTATTTATAGAACATTTATTATTACCAGTATGGCTCATAAATATAAAAAAATTAAATTTTGGTGAATTTTTTAGTACTAAAATAAATGTAATTATTCAAATTGAATAATTTTTTTAATATTCATTACTAATAGTTTAAGTCGAATTATTTTAATAAAATTATTTATAATTTAATTTTTTTGCCAGTCTAAGTTAAATTATTTATCAATCTTTTATTACCAGTATGGCTTGTACTCGGCCTTCATGGGGTGCTTCGTCTACGCCCTTTTGGGGGGCTGTCGCCAAGTTACAATCGGCCCGACGGCACTGCTCTCTCTGATGACTGCCAAATATACTGCTCAAGCAGCAGGAATAGAATTAGCTGTTTTGCTGTGCTTTTTATCTGGCTGCGTCCAATCGCTGATGGCAATCTTTCGAATGGGTAAAATAATTCACAAATGTTATATGAAGAAATAGAAAATTTAATAGAAATTTTGGGACATTTTTTTGGTTTTTGTCAAATAACTCACAAATATCATATGAAAGCAACCCTTTTCAGTTAGATAGGGAGAAACTAGATACAATTTACTACGATTCCATGCTAACGGTTTTATAAGCTCCGATATAAAAGTTTGGAATAAAACGACTTTGAATTCGATCTAGAAACTAATTCTAAACAATCAGAGACTAGTTTCTCCCTATCATTGTAATTGATTATAAATTTAAATTTATATGTGAAGTTTTATGCAGGCATTCATATAAAAGACGAATTTTATATATATATATATATATATATATATATATATATATGGATATTTAGAATTTTTACCATTTTTCAATTAAGTTTTTTTTACCATTTTTGTATGATTTTTTCAGGATCTCTGGTTGATATAATATCCTTACCAATAAGTATTGGTTTTACTTCAGCGACTGCTGTAATAATAGCAACGTCCCAAATAAAATCCTTGCTAGGCTTAAAATATCCTCGAGGAAGTGGTGATAATTTTGGAAAAACACTAGTTAATATTTATCAAAATTTGCCTAATACTCAACTTGGAGATAGTTTACTAGGTTTATCTAGTATACTCCTACTACTACTTTTGAGGGTAAAATCACCTAGTAAATAATTTTATATTACACTTGTTTATTATATATTAATAATAATATATAATAAACAAGTGTAATATAAAATTATGTATTATTTAATATATTTTTTATTTTTTTAGAAATTCAAAGATTACAGAAGCACGTCTACTAGGTCCAAAGTGTACAAACAATTTCGTACTTTATTATGGCTTATAGCAACTGCAAGAAATGCTATAATAGTTTTATTAGGAGTCGTAATTGCATATAGTTTTGAAAAATATACTTCAACAATACCATTTCAAGTCACGGGATCAGTAAAGTTTGTATCAACTTAAAATAAAATTAAATACAAGGTATCTCAGAACTCAACGTTGAAGTGATGTGAGCCAAACGCACTAGCAAAAATCTTGTTTTTATTTTTTTACTCGATTTTTTTATTATACAACCATCAAGTGTTTTTACAATTTTGTAATCCTGATTAAATGCCCTAACTTTTGATGAACTTTGCCAATACATTTTAGTACAATTTTTTTAAAGTAGTGCCTCTCAAAGTCGAGGGATTCTAAAAATTTTAAATACATAGCTCAACAAAAAGTGTTAATTCTTGAAAACCTGGAGCAAATTTGTCATTATTTTTTAATGTGGTCTTAGAAATATTATGTACTATGACGGTTCCAAAGTTTAAATGAATAAAATCGAAGAAAATTAACCGCAATAACCGAAAAATAGAGACAATTTCACCAAAGCTCTAGGTTGCACTTAAAACCTCATAATTTTCAAACTTACAAAGTTATAGTAATCGCAAAAAAATCAAAATGTTGTTTTTTCTATTTTTACGTTTCAAAGGTTTCTGAACATTTTGACATACCTTAAAAAAATTGACGTATGTGTGTGTGTGTGCGCACGTGTGTGTTTGTACATATGTACGGATACAATTTTTAACAATTTTTCGTCGACGATTTTGAGAATGCGGATCAACCGATTTGAATGGTTAAAAAAATATTCGATTCCTATTGATAGAGAGATGCGCTGATTAGTTTTTGGCAAAGGCAGGTCCAAATGTTTCGGAGATATTGGGCAAAAAGTGCAGAAAATAGAAATCGAGTTTTTAAAAGAACGGATTGGAATGATCTAAAATAATATTCAATTTGTAATGATGAGGAAAAGTGGTGATTAGTTTTTGGCAAAGGCAGGTCCAGCCGTTTCAAAAATACCGAGCAAAATCGCTGTTTTTGAGAGAACTAGGCATCCGATTTGAATGATCTAAAAAACTTTCTGCTTGTGTTGACAAAACCATTGCTTTTGAGGATAAAAAATTATTACACCTTTTTTATTTTCCATAAAATATTTTTGTAATTTTGTATTAAAAATTCAAAAAATTACCCAGGCTAAGCACAGTCTAAGCGCTACTCTGGTACAAATGTTTACCCAAGTGCGTTTAGACTGTCTATGTATAGGGGCACTTTTCCAATTTTGTGAAAACTATTGAAAAATGTGAAAATGCCGCCAAGGTAAGCACAGTATAAGTGAAAATGTCGCACAGAATTATTTGCAAATGCGTTTAGACTGTGACTATAAGGGAGCACTTTTTCAATTTTGTGTAAATTAGGCAAATATTTTTTTTTCAAATTGAATTCGAAATGAAATGACGATTGTTAATGTTCTGGAGATAAATTGATTTATGATTTACATTTGATTTGCTCAGATATAACAAGATAGCAAAAATAATGAAAGTTACAATATTTATAATGATCTATTTGAAAACATTTAATATTCCTCGAATATTTCATTACGGTACGGGAAGTTCCAGCAATTCACCTGAAAGTACGATACCATATACCACTAGTATTTTTTGCATGATAGTAACGATCAATATTTTCATATATATATAGTTATTTAGAGTTATATAAATTTTCTTTTTCGAATACGATATGAAAAAAAGATTGAAACTTCAAAAATTCAATACTATCAATCACCCCGTTGACGTTGACCTTGGGACACCCCATACATATTTAATTTATTTTATTACTTTTAATTAAATATTTAATTTATTTTATTTACAGATCAGGTCTTCCATCAATCCACTTGCCTGCATTTTATGTCAATAAAGAATATTGTAACATTACTACATACAAAAATGTAGACGACGGCAATAATACGGACATATCACATCAACTTGTTTTCGAAACTTGTACAGAAATAAAAAATAAAACTGTTGTTTCTTATAATGAAAGTATTATATACGAATCGAATTTAATAGAACTAGGTTTTAAAGATATGGTCGATATTCTTGGATCGTCGATTATTTTAGTACCTATTATAGCTGTTTTGGGAAACGTTGCTATATCAAAAGCGTTCGGTAAAAACATAAATATACACAAGCAAAAAAATATTATTACTATATAAAATATTTTTTTAGGTGGTGCCAAATTAAATCCTTCACGTGAACTTTTAGCTTTATCATTAAGTAATATTTTTGGATCATTTGTATCATCGATGCCAGTGACTGGATCTTTTTCAAGAAGTGCTGTAAATCATGCATCGGGTGTACAAACTCCTTTGGGCGGAGTTTATACAGGTTAATAATAAAAAATATTTTTTTTGGTTGAATATTTAACTAGTTTATATTTATTTTTATTCGCAGGTCTTTTAGTATTATTAGCTATAGGTTTATTAACGCCGTATTTTCATTATATTCCCAAAAGTTCTTTGTCGGCTGTGATAATATGCGCTGTGATCTTTATGATCGAATATGAGGTAAGGAAAAAAAATTAAATAAACTAGTGGTGTATGGCATCGTGCCTTAAGGCAAATTAATTCGTAACAAAATATGCGATGAATTTTAAATGATTGCAAATAGATTATTATAAATACTGTAACTTTTATTATTCGTATTTTATACAACTATATACAGGGTATCCAAAAACTCTACTCTAAATTTTTATTTTTTAATATTTTACACGAATTTTTTATTATAAAACTATCAAGTGTTTTACCATTTTATAATCTTGATGAAACTTGTCAACACTTTTTGGTACTTTTTTTTGAAGGAGGGTCTCTCAAAGTCGACGGATGCTAAAATTGATGAATTTCAAATGTTTTCAAATATATTATTATAAATACTGTAACTTTTATTATTCGTATTTTATAGACAAAATCTAAGGTTTATAAATTGAACGACGACGTTTATATATGTTTGTAAAAAAGTAAATAAACAAAACTTGATCAAGCGAGTTAGCATTAAAGGACCTTATCTCATATTTTTAAGACGGAATTGCAAAGTTAAAATTATTTATTTGAAGTATATGATAAGTGAGCTTTGGAATTTTACCAAAAATTAAAATTAAAATCCGGATTATTTTTTATATCAAAAAAATATTTTATAAAAATTGAAAAAAGAATTTGAAATATTGAACTAAATTTTTTTTGCTTTATCCCAAAATCAAATTGAGCAAAATATTTTTTGAATCATTCAAATCAGATGCCCCATTCTCTCCAAAACTGCAATTTTTTGCACATTGAGCTCAGTATCTCCAAAAATGCTAGACCTACCTCTGCCAAAAACTAATCACCACTTCTTCCCATCATTAAAAATTGAATGCTTTTTGAATCGGATGCTTAGTTCTCTCAAAAACTCGATTTCTATTTTCTGCAATCTTTGCTCTGTATCTCCGAAACTTCTGGACCTGCCTTTGCTAAAAACTAATCACGACTGCTCCTCATTATTACGAATCGAATGCTTATCGAATCATTCAAATCGGACGCTCCGTTCTCTCAAAAACTTAATTTATATTTTCTGTACTCTTTGCTCGGTATCTCCGAAACGGTTGGACCTACCTTTCGTAAAAACTAATTAGTGCATTTCCCAATAAATACGAATCGAATTATTCAAATCCGTTGATCCGGGTTCCCGAAATTACAACGAGAATTTGTATCCGTACATACACACACACACATCGATTTTTTCTTAGGTGTGCCAAAGTGTTCAGAAATCTTTGAAACGTGAAGATATGCAAAAAAAAATATGTTTGATTTTTGAACGATTACCATAACTTACCTTACCGCACACACACACACACACATAAATACATACAGTTTTTCTAAGATGCTCCGAAACATAAAGATATGCAAAAAAAAATTATTTTAGATTTTTGGACGATTACTGTAATTTACCCTAAGGGAACTTAATAAAAAATCTAATAAAAAATAATTTAAATTTATACTAAAAATCTATAAAAAATCTATTAGTAAATTTAGTAGTATTAGTAAATTTAGTTTAACAATCTATAAAAATTAATTTAGGTTTTTTATTTATCAAATTTTTAGGTAGTTAGGCCCTTATGGCGTTGCAGCCGAAGAGAATTATTCGGTTGTGTGAAAACATTTGTACTTAGTCTTGTATTCAGTGTCGAAATTGGACTCTTAGTCGGAGTTTCATGGGATTTATTATATGTCGTTTATAAAGCAGCCAGACCTGATTTGCCGATTACAAAAGTCACAGTAAGTAAAAATAATTACTTAATTCTAATTTGCATGGTTAAAATTTTTACATAAAATTTTTAAAAAAATTAAAATTTTAGTTTATTTTTCATTTCTAGACAGATTCGGGCATCGAGTTCTTAATTTTAAAACCAGGCCATGGTTTATTATATTTTCCAGCAGTCGATTTTCTACGAGATGCTATTAGAAAAGCTGCCAACGAAAAAGGTGTTCCTGTAATAATCGATTGCAATAATTTACAAGGTATATAGTATTAAATATGTTTGCAATTTCTAGTATCTAGATTTTATATAAATTATATAATTTTTTCTAGATATTGATTTCACTGCGGCAAGAGGCATTGTTACTTTATCCAAAGAACTCAATGGAAGACTAATTTTAATGAACGCCAGTGAAAAAGTTTTGAAAGTAATAGAAGATGCAAATAGTGCAAAAGTTCCCATTAAAAATGTTTTGAACGAAACGGAGTTAAATATTATTTTAGAAGGTATGCTGAAATTTGAGTATAATATGTTACTAAATTAAATAAATATTAATTTTGTTTCAGACAATCATACATTTTCAAATGCAACCGAACTGAGGGATGTCCGAAAACCGTTGTTGAAACTACAGAAATAACTTGGGATAAATAATTTATGAATTGTACCTTTATGTATTATTATTAATACATTTAATATATTTGTGTCTGATTTTTACTTGATTGTTTAATTAAACAATAAATATTTATGTATGTATGGTGTCCCAGAATTCAACGTCAAACCGAAATCGAAAATAATAACCAATAAAAATAAATAAATAAATTGCTGATACTTCCCGTACTGAAATTTAAAATTAAAAATAACTCAGATATAAAAAATTGTTTTTTTAAGAATTTGGAATTTTTAAAACATTTTTGAAATTTGAAAATATTTGAATATTAAAAAAATTGAATATTTAAAAATTTGAATATTAAAAAATTCCTTTTTAGAAAATAATGATATATATATATATATTTTTTTTTGAAAACTTGAAAATTTTATGAAAACTGTTTTTTTTATTTTTAAACTAATAGTGCATGGCATCGTGCCTTAAGGGAAATTCCTGTAACTTCTCGTACTGAAATTTAAAATTTTTAAAAACTGTGAAATGAAAGTGTTTTTTTGAGAATTCTGAATTTTTTTGAACATTTTTGAAATTTGAAAACATTTTAGAAATTTGAATATTAAAAAATGCCTTTTTTTAGAATATATTAATAATGATATGTCTTGAAAACTTGGAAATTTTATGAAAAACGATTTTTTTTGATTTTTTGAAATTTTATGAAAACTGTTTTTTTTGATAATTTTGTATATTTTGAAAGATTTGTGAGTTTTTTATACCCATTCATGTCAGTTAATCCATACTGTCTAAAATACCGAATTTTTGACCGCCAATTGGCATTTTTCAATAGAAATCAGCACATCTCCCTATCAATACAAATCAAATGTTTTTTGAATCATGCAAATCGGTTGAGCGGTGCTTACGTAAACGTGGACAAAAAATTGTATCCACACATACACATATATATAACATTTTTTAAGGTATGCCAAAATGTTCAGAAACCTCTGAAACGTAAAGGTATGCAAAAATTTTCATTTTCGATTTTGGACGATTATTATAACGAAAAATGGTTAGTTTGACCTAGGTTTTAATTGAATTCTCAAAATTTTTAAACTGTACTTATAATTTTTTTCAACTGTATCAAAGTATGCACATCGTCGTATTTTGTCACAAATGCAATTCGCATAACAATATAAATTTAATTAGAATATCTTTGCTAATCGTTCCAATGTTTAAGAATTTGTGATCATTACCAAGTCTGTTAAATCACTCGCAATTATACCTTTTACCAAGTCAAATATTTATAAACAATGTCAAGTTTTTATAAAAAAATATCCAGAAAAACTGCCAAAGTAAAAGTTTTTGAAACAGTTCGCCGAAAAAGTTTACAATGGTTTCACGAAGCAACTGATCGAATTTCAAGTAAATTAAGCAAAGTGTCTTCTATGTACCAAAGAAACAGTCAAAGACGAGGAACTTTGAAAAAATCTAAAAGATTTTCTTACAAAGATGAATGTTTAGACGAATGTGATCACAAATTTATATTAAAAGATAATTTTGAAAGGGTTCCAAATATCCCTAAAGAACCGCCGAGGCCGCAATATCATCGCAAATTACCATGTCGATGGGAATGGGAAAATGGGTTGGAATCCATTCGACATATTTATACAGATCCTAAGGCTTTGTCTTTAATTGAAAATCAGATAAATAAAGGTACTAAAACTACAGTTTGCGAAGCTGAAGTCCATGAACCAGTTAAAAATTTGTACAAAGGATCTTTGAATGTTAAACAAAATGCGAATCGGACTTCTGATTTAGAAGATGAGTTGAAATATGGAAGGAATCAACGAGCAAGTTTTTATGTTTAGGTGTAAAACTTACAATTGAATATAAAAAAATATTTGTTGTTAAATTAATTTGTTTCTTAAATATATGTATGTATTTTATCTTGGTATCACTAATGTAAATAAATTATAATGTTCGAAATAAAAATTAAAAGTTATTTGAAGAAAAGCAAAACATGTTCTAAATTCATATGTTACAAATCAGAATACTAAAGTCCGCATTTCAACTACGATTTATTCAAAATTTTAATATCCGAGTGTATATAACACTTTTCACGAGAATTTAGTTATCTAGATTTTACTGATGTAAAAAAATTATAATGTCCGAAATGAAAATTAAAAGTTATTTGAAGAAAAAAGTGTCCTAAATTCACATATTGTTAATTATAAGAATATACCAAAGAAAGCATTTTAGCTACGAATTATTCAAAATTTTAATATCCAAGTGTATATAACAGTTTTCATAAATTATTAGTAAATTTTATTTAGTTTTTATTAATGTAAAAAAATTATGATGTCCAGAATAAAACTTAAGAGTTATTTGGAAAAAAAGTAATATAACTGCGAATATATATATAATAAAATATGGTAATACTAACGTTCGCATTTCAACTATGAATTATTCAAAATTTTAATATCCAAGTGTATATAACTACTTTCACTAGATTTTGATAAATTTTATCTAGTTTCTACTGATGTATAATATATAACACTAACCGGCCTGGGCAAAACTTTCAAGGTATTTAAATAAAAATGCAAAAGAATGTCCCAGATTTACATATTTCTGAATATATTAGCAGAAAAATGTTTCAACAAATGTTTGCATTATTATGCATTATTATTAGGTTGTCAAATATCTCCCTTCTGCCTTTTTGTATTATAAACCAAGAGCAAAAAAGCGGAAGGGAGATATTTGACAACCTAATATTATTCATAATTTTATTATGCAAGTGTATACAACAGTTTTTACTAGATTTTAGTAAATTTTATATAATTTTTACTAATGTACAAAAATTAAAATACTTAGAATGAAAATTTTAAGTCGTTTGAAGAAATAATAAGAACGCATATTGCTAATTACCAAAATACTAAAATACTAAAATATTAGGTTGTCAAATATCTCCCTTCCACCTTTTTGTATTATAAACCAATAGCAAAAAAGCGGAAGGGAGATATTTGACAACCTAATAAATGAAAAAAACTAAATCAATTGAATCTAAACCAAACCTATCACAAGGCACTTTCAATAAATTACGCTTATAACTATTAAAACTATTAAAATTTTAAGTTAACCATTGAAATTTTCATAAAGTTTAAATTCCTCATGAGTTTCCAATAAGATTCACCTTTTACTAGCCACCACGATCAATTGGATTGGAGTAGATTAGATTTCTATTATTATAAATAAAATTCCATAAATGCGTACAATACAATAGTGTTTTTCAATAACTCATAACATAATTTACTGCTTTATTTAAATATTAACATCCACTGGATATTATTTTTTACCATAATTGACTTTGATGCGATTGACTCGTATAAAGCGATTACTGTTTTGACACATTTCATGAGGGCTTACATTGCGCAGTTTGAATAATAATGCATTTTTCAAATCCTGTGGGATTTTGTAATTTCACATAAATATAAGGGAAGGAATCGGGTAGTAAAGATTCAGTTCTTACAAGATAACAGAACCGTCGAGGAATAAAATAGCCAGGCCAAAGAAAACAGCACAAGGTGCATCTAATTTGCGTAAGTAATATAAAAACATATTTTAATTTATTTAGCGGAAAGTGCAAAATTTTCCGTCCACGTTTGGAATATTAAAAATAAATTTTACGACGAATTTGATGGAACTTTATATATTGATAGATTTCGTAGTCTGAAACAACATACTAAAATATTAGGTTGTCAAATATCTCCCTTCCGCTTTTTTGCTCTTGGTTTATAATACAAAAAGGCGGAAGGGAGATATTTGACAACCTAATATTATAGGTCTATGATAAGCTGTTGAATTATAAAATATTTCTTTTATTAGGATGCATATCAATACCCATCTACCATTGCTGTCAACTCTGTTAATTTTGTCCATGATGCTCTGGTCATTTTCTGATGCAACTTCTGAAGCTGGTTCAGTAGAAAATGCAGTACCAGGACATAGAACCAGGCCGAGAACGATATCGTTATTTTACGGAATTGGAAGGCGATTTCCGAGGCCCAATGACCAGGAATTCCTTGACGAGGAGCTGGATATTTCTGGATCAAATCGAGCAAGAGGTAGGAAAAAAAATTTGTAATACATAATACACTATTAGAATATTGATAAAACTGGTATTGATAATTTTTAGCTCTTAAAATATTACTAACTCTAAGCAAATTCGGTTTCTATTTGATTGTAGGACATTTTTCTAGATTTCGTCAAGTAACTCAAAAATTTTGTTCCGTACATTATAACTTAAAATTTAGTGAAAACCCTTATATACACTTGTATATTCAAATTTTGCATAATTCGCAATTGAAATGCGGACTTGTATACTTTTCTAATTAGCAATCGAGCAAGAGGTAAGAAGGAAAAATTTGTAATAATCAATACACTAATAAAACATTGGTAAAACTGGTATAACTCCAAATTTGGTTTACATTTGATATTGAAAGATTTAACTAATAGTTTTTGTTTAATAGATTAAATTTTTTGTCATTTATTTTAGCATTTTAGTATTTATTATATTACGACATTTATGTAGGTATTTTTTTACATTTTTTAAAACTTGTCAACATGATTTCAAGTATTCCAATTTGTATATAATAATAAAAACTAGATAAAATTTACTAAAATCTTGTAAGAACAGTTATATACACTTGGATATTGAAATTTTGAGTAATTCGCAGTTGAAATGCAGACTTCAGCATTTTAAAGATTTACGTAATATGTGAATTGAAAACATTTTTTTACGTTTCGTCAAATAATTAAAAATTTTAATTCTAGTTCTAGACATTATAATTTGTTTACATTAGTGAAAATTAGACAAAATTTACTAAAATCTAGTAAGAACTTTTATATATACTTTTATATTAAGATTTTGCATAATTCGCAGTTGAAATGCAGACTTCAGTATTTTGATGATTTGTAATAAGTGAATTCAGGACATTTTTTTACGTTTTGTCAAATAACTCGAAAATTTTCTTCCTGGACTT